TTATGGCATATTTTGCTAATGAAAAACCATCTTCACCATTAAATAATTCAACTAATAACAAACGCTGTTAATCAATTCAGAACTCACGTGATTGAATGCTTGAATAATAGCTTACCAGTAGAAGGCTGCTGTATGATGTGTTATTTGGACAGTAGAGTTGTATTAGCCCCTTACTTTTTTACAAATGTAAAATATATGGCACGAACCGTCAGTTCCCATCGCTACTGCCACATGATTACAAATTTTTTGGCCTGAATATTGATTATATGGATATAGAGGATATGTGATTTCATGAAATGCGAGAAATTAACCGAATATATGATTTTACATTTTGGTGACATGAATTGGCTCGACTTTTATTTGTGTGGTTATTCAAAGGACCGTATTAATGTAGACAATCCTTCAACTTTTGACATTTTGTAATATCTTGACCTATTCGCTAATTGACGATGATTCTTCGAAAATTATATCTTCATGCTTCAGTTCAATGAAGGATATTTGAATGATGTATTTTTCTCAACCACAAAAATATGAATGATGAAGTCTCAACCACAAAAATATTTTATATGTAGTACGTGTAATATACGTGAAGCTTTATATCTCAATTCAACAGATTGAACAATAATAATATACACCTTCATTGCAGAAAACCTGTAGAATTGCAGTTCAATGGTTAACTTTAAGACGCAGGTATTGGAGCCTATTATTATTTTCCAAATAGATCCTACGAAAAGCGTAGTATAACAAGCCCTCTTTTATCTGTTCTCGATCATCAATATGGATTTTATTGAATAAAGATTTATGATTTTGAGGTCTTAATGCAAATTTATTGTTTGATACTGTGCATATACCGGGCGTGAAGCAGCATTATAAAGGTAGAAGTGTGGTGCATTTAGTGCACGGATAATGTCAATTGGATATTTCAGACATTACACTTCAGAGGATATTTTTTGAAGAAAAGAAAATAAGTGCTATGATTGATGATTTTTTTGTGTTTTACATAATATTGCCGGATTATTTTTTACATGGAACCTATAAGACATGTGCTGTTATTTGCGTAATCTTCAGTAGAAAGTAATTTTTTAAGTTAGATGAAAAAAATTATTTTAATAACAGATTTAAGAAGTCACTAATAGTTTTTTCAGGGAATATGGTTAAAATGTTCTGAGTTTATATAAATGCGGATAGATTGGATTTATTTCATACCATTTATAAATTTATTCATTTTGAAATAATGATATTTTGTTTAGTGAGAGCTTTAAAGAAATTAATGAAGTCATTATTTCTGTAATGAAAGAGAAAGGGGGACAATTTAAAATATTTTGGCATGAAGGACTAAAAATTGAGATCATAACTGTAGTGAACGGACTTTGTACAACACTAAAAGAGACGATGACACACAGTTGTCCAAAAGACGTCGATATACGTATTTTATATTTTACTGTGTTGTATGATATTATTAAGAGATATAAAAATGATGTGATATTTAAACCCGTATGTAATGTGTTAATAGAGAAATTACCACAATAAATACTTTTAAATAATTATATTATACCAAGTTGGTCGACACTCTGGCTTTCATTCGGAATGTCTTCTGTGCGGTTATGGTCTGTTGCAGCAGAAAAGCTCAACCGTGGTCCCAGTGCTCTGCTTCGTTGGGAACTGGTACCCCGTTTATTCCTATATACATCAAGTTGGTTTTAGAGGCAGTGCAACCAACAGTTGATATATGAAAAAGTTGATAATATAATCAAATTAATCAATATTAATCTCTTACAATTTATTAGGTAATCTATATCAACATTGAAGAAATAGTGTTTCTTTGGTGAATCTTTTTTGTCTGAATAAAATATATATTCAATCAATTCGTGGCTACTGAAATGTATTGAATGGTTGATATCAATCAGTTAACTACGATTAATTTGCTAAAGAATAAGAGATAAATTATAGGGTTAATTTCTGATTTCAGATTTGAATTATATTTTAAAGTTTGAAACCTCATATGATTATGTCTTGCAATATGTTAACTAACACGAGATGAATAATGAAGTTCGAATTTGTTCTGTTAATAATTTTATGTCTTGATGCCATATTACTTGTAGTGAATGATCTTGTAGTAAATGTGCAACTTTCAAAAAATTTAATTAAATTAGTTTAATTAAAAGTTCGTTATATTTTTTCACACTCGCGGTGTAACTAACGTACATTCAGATATTTAATTTATTATATTAAGAAGGCATTTATGCAATCTATAACACAAATATTAATATAATGACTTAAAGCTCGAGCTCGAACAATCGCTCACAGCTGAAGGTTAAGTCGCACCGCTGGTGGATGCATTAATCTTCCACTTGTGGTTGGTTGGCCACATTCGTGTGCTCACTGAAAAACTGCTTCAAATTAAATTACATATTTCGAAATGTTGTAACTTATGGAGTTGAAGGTGACTAATGATGCACCGATTTATAAACAAAAGCCTTGTGTGTTTGAATCAATAATTGCTCAAATAGAATTTGTGATTCTAATATTAATAAATGAATGCATGGCGCCAATAAAATTTCATTAAAATACATCAAAACAATTAGCAATTTGAGCGGCATCCGTACATTATAGCATTGAGCTCTGTCTGCTAGTATGGCATTAAAATAACAACACTAAGTAGTTTGTCCATTTAAGGCAATTAGTTACAGCATCAGACGTTAATTGTGATTTCTTGTACTTCACAGTATTGATCTGAGCTTATTTTCACATTTTGATCTGATTCACATCTGCTGCTAATAAACAGAAGATACATTTAACTCAGCACTTAAAGATCAACTCTACTCTAGATTTTGTATTGAAGCTTTTGTTATAGTAAATTTGATTTTATTTTTTTTTTAAATTAGTTAGCATTTTGCGTATTATAATCTAATTGATTTATAAGCAGAAACAGTGTTTCCAATCTAAATTGGATCGCTACAGTGTGTAAGATTTGCACTTCAATTTTTCATATCTGCGAACATGTATCTCAGCTATGTTTACGTTTTGTCCATTTGCATGCAAATTCACTAATGGATATAGCACATATGTGCTAACTCACATCACTTTAATATATGCAGGAATGCACTACGGTAGCATAGTTAAACATTT